GAAACATATACGCCATGTTTATATCTTGGGTCACGTAGTGATAAACTTTCACCATGGTGGTGTTGGTGGCCATGGATATAGCAGTTTGCATGTTGCTTAATAGCACACCGACCAGTGGTCCCGCGCGTAATTGTAATAGCTCAAAATTATCTGCAAACAAATTATACAATGTGTAGAGAAACAACTCGAGCCGAGCCATCGTACGCGTGACACCCATCGCCCGGAGCCACGCGGGCGGTGCTTTTGGGTAATCGAGTTCGTCCTCAAGAGTTATATATAAATTCTCAAACTGTGTTAATGTAGAATAATTTAACATGGCCACATTGTTCAATTGGTCAATAAACGCCTGGTTCTGGGCCAGATAGGCTGTGGCCGCCGGCGAGTTTGCCAATTGGGACTGTAGTGTTGAGGCCGTTGGACACGTGGCCGATGCCGACAACAGTGCGTCAATAGTCGTGGGCACTGTCTGTACGGCTGCCCACCGGCCCACGGTCCCACACCCACCGGCCCTCCGGCGCGTACATACCGGCGGACACGGCGTACGCGCTTTCCAGACACCGGTCCACGCCTTGACTTCGTTGGTATATAGTTTTGGGCGACACTCCCAGCCAATGGCCGTATCGGTAACGCAACTGTCTGCCCGTGTTATACATGCGGCGCTTGCCTTTGGGCGTAAGTTCGCCCAAACCGTCCGGCCACAAGTCATTGGCGTAGGGATCACCTGGGTAGAAACTAAATGGCGCATGGTCACCGTGACGTTGTACTATTTGGATTAATACTAGTGTTGACGTGTTGTACGGACTACTATTGTCCAGATCATAGAATTGGTAAAGTGCACGCCGCGTGCACGGAGTGTGTTGTGCTTGATGTTTCTATATAGCTATTATACCTGCACTTCACATATCATGTTACAGTCATATAAGGTGTGTGTCAACTAAAATATAGTAAAGGGCATACGAAATGACCAAATAAGGTAACGTTTATAGTGATTAATGTATGAAAATTACCAAGATCAAACAAAGAATCACGTCTATAGATTAACAAGGTTTACTACCTGTAGGTCCAGATGATGTGCACAGTGAATTATATTTACCGTACTAATCATTATTAATAAAATATACATTTTTACAACTCTACAAGCTCTAAGGGTTAAGCACTTAGTTACGAGTTTTAGTTTAATTAATTAATCTGTTTTTTAACTTAGACACAATCATCGGGGTAGTAACTTCTGTTCTATTAATTTAATTTTGCAAATATGTTTTTAGCAAATAAAATACTTAAATACTTTATATTAGAAACATTTAATATAATTTAATGGTTATTAATTAAGTCAGTGAACTATTGTTTAATTTAAAGCAGGGCAAAGATCATTAGAATATAACATACTGTATACAAATTCACAAAGAAATAATGTTTAGATTTGTTAATTCTAAACAAAAAACACAAGTTAGAAATCTACCTAATTTGAATTTGCATGGATAATGATATCAATCATTGATAACTAATACTAAACTACTAATACTTTATATTTAGTATTAGTGGTAAGCGTTGGATTTATCGGGCACTTTGAGGTAAGTCTGGCTCTGCGTTACTTTGTACGCCAGACGACATATCTGTGAACTAAAAGTGCAAACCAGAAAATCCGATTTGCTTAACAGCCATTTAGTATTCATAATAAATATAAGTATAATTGCTAAGGTTATTATTAATGACCAAGAATAATTACCGTCAATAAAATTAATATTATTTTTAATTAATTTACACTAACAATAAAAATTGTATTTTATGAAATTAACAAACATTTATAATATAGTAATAAGTTTGCTAAGATTTAAAGATTAAATTACGGGTAAATAGGTACAGGGTATGTGAGTCCGCACTCACTAGCCCAATTAACCGGAATAGAATTGTTGAGGCTGTCAAAAAACGTGTTAAATGTACATTGACCAATTGGATCATTACCCGATTTGCAATTGGGCATCATCACATTGTTCCAATCAAAATCAAAACCATGAAACTGATTTGCGTAAAGCACCTTGACAACGTAACTACCGTTAATTAAGTGCAGCTCAAACACCAGTGCTGAGCCAAACGAGGGTAAAATAATTTTATTATTTAGTATACGATAGATAATCGCTATGGTTACATCGTTGGTGGTGTAGTGGTTCACTTTGACCATGGTGCTATTGGCCTCCATGGCTATAGCGCTGTTCATATTATCAATTAATACCCCGATTAATGGGCCACCTCGTAACCGTTGTACTGTCGGGTCAACCGATAATAAATTAACAGTTTCACGTTGAAACTCCTCGAGCCGAGCCATTGTACGCTTCACACCCATCGCCCGGAGCCAAGGGGGTGGCGGTTTGGGGTAATCGAGCTCGGTAACCAGTGTCTTGTATAAAGTGGCCACAGAGCCGACAAAGGTAAAATTGTTGCCAGTGGCCTCGTTGAGTTGATTCACAAACGACTGGTGCGCCGCCATAAACGCCAGTACTTGAGGCGAATTATTCTGATCTTCATCGAGAGTGTCGGCCACCGGACAGTCGGCCGACACATCCAACAGCGGGTCTATAGCGGTGGGCACTGTCTGTATGGCCATCGGTTGCCACAAGTGGGCCAACTCTAGCGGTCGGTCCCACACCCACCGGCCCTCCGGTTGATACATACCGGCGGACACGGCGTACGCGCTCTCCAGACACCGGTTCACTGATGCGCTCCTTTGGTATATGGTTTTGGGCGACACTCCCAGCCATTGGCCGTATCGGTGACGCAACTGTCGGCCCGTTTCATACATACGACGCTTGCCTTTAGGTGTAAGGTTGGCCAACCCGTCCGGCCACGTGTCGTTGGCATAGGGATCACCTGGGTAAAATAGTGACGGTGTTATATCTCCGTATCGTTGCACTATTTGTAATAATACTAATGTCGACGTGTTGTACGGCCTGTTATTGTTTATTAGCTGTGATGGATTACGACCTTGGTTGATTTTAGTGCAGTGTACAACAATTATTGTATAAATAATTAATATAGGCAAAACAATATTATTTTTCAAATAATTTTTAACATTCATTGTGTTTATGAATAATTATTATGATTCCGGATGCATGAATAGATACTTAAATGTGCATGGACTAAACTGGTGATTTAATTTATATACTATTTAAATGGGTGTTATATTGTATGAGATAAAATTTTAATATCATCTAGACAATTATCCCACAACGTTTTAATATAATAAAATTTAACACATTTTTTAGTTATTAGGGTGTCAATGTATTTTTGGTCATTAAACTGTCTTAATGTGCTTTAAAACAAATAATTGTTATTTTCAAAAGTAATGAATTATTAAACATTAATAAATTGTTACTTCATAGAGATCACCTTGATAGAAGCTACTCGGGGTTATATTTCCAATAGTGTTGTTTTTAAATAAAACTTGAATTTATTGTATGTCATTAGAATTACACATTATTAAAACCATAATTATGTTTACCAAAATTAATAATGTAAAAATATATTTGAACAATAATATTATATTATCGATTATACTTATCTCTATCATCACAAATCACTACAAGTGCGTGCCGGTCAATACAGTGGCCAATGGCAGTCATGAGTACGACACGTCCACTTTAGTATTAGTACAAATAGTGCAACGACACGGCGACCTCACTCCTACCAGTTTCTACCAAGGTGATCGTTACGCCAATGACTTGTGGCCGGACGGTTTGGGCCAACTCACGCCCAAAGGCAAGCGTCGTATGTATGACACGGGCCGACAGTTGCGTTACCGATACGGCCAATGGCTGGGAGTGTCGCCCAAAACTATATACCAACAAAGCGCGGGTCTGGACCGGTGTCTGGAGAGCGCGTACGCCGTGTCCGCCGGTATGTACGCGCCGGAGGGCCGGTGGGTGTGGGACCGAGCGTTGCATTTGTCCCACTTGTGGCAACCGATGGCCGTACAGACAGCGCCCTCAAGTATAGACGCCCTGTTGGCCTATATGGCCACTTGTCCGGTGGCCGACCAGATCAAGAGCCAACAGGAAAACTCCGAAGAGGGCGCCGCATACGTAGCCGCCCAACATTTATTTGTGGACGAGCTCAACCGTTTGAGCCAGGGCAATTTCACAACGCTCGATGAATTAATGAAGTTATACATTACACTGTTCAGCGAACTCTATTACGATCCGCCAAAAGCGCCGCCCGCGTGGCTCCGGACGATGGGTGTCTCGCCTACGATGGCTCGGCTCCAGGGTTTCCAATACAAAGAGTTTGAGTTGGAAACGGCTAAAGTGTTATCGCAACGCCTGCGCGCCGGCCCTCTCATCGGTGTATTAATAAACAATATGCAAAATTCTATAGCTATGGCGGCCAATACCACCAGGGTAAAAGTATATCACTACATGACCAACGATATAAACTTAACGTTTATGTATCGCATACTAAATAATGCAATTTATATACCATCGTACGGCTCGGCTTTAGTTTATGAGTTGCATCAAATTCGCGGCACATATTTTGTCAAGGTGTTTTACGCAGATTGCACCAACATTAACATTTTGGATTGGTATCAGTTAAAATTGCCAAAGTGTCAGACACCTAATAACGTTGTTGGTCAGTGTGTATTGAACAATTTTGTAGATAGCCTAAATAATTATGTTCCGGCTAACTGGAGTGCAGAGTGTGGACTCACGTACCCTGTACCAATTTATACGTGATAATTAAATAGATATAATTCTAAAATTTTTAAAAATAATTTTATATAATAAATAAACTATGTTGTACAAAATAAAATTATTTATATTTGATAAGTAATAATCAGTCTAGCCATATTTCTGTACCACTGTGTTTAAGTAATGAACTAATTAATTGTAAAATTTTGAAATATCAATCAGTCATCACACAATGTTACAATCTTATTGTAATTATTTATTTATGAGGGCCTCTATAAACTTTGTACACACTTTGTTAAATATGAGTTCAAATAAATTTGATATTTGATACAATAATACAATATTACAACCTGTTAAAGCAATCATGATGGTTCTAAGTTTGTGGAATACATGACATCCCTTTATCCTTTTCCGGACAATTACTTTTTTACCCACAATTCAAATATAAATAATGTGGTTTATAGGATCGTTTGTATACCTCCTCACACCACCCTATAGGATTTAACATGGGACTACAGCTCAAGCCTATAACTATACTTTATATATGGGTCCATATACTTTATAATTAATTGTGGTTAATGTATAACATTGCTGTGTGATTTTTGTTTGATTTACAGATATTTTGTTAACGAGATCAATATAGATTTGTTGTTATAAGGAAGTCATAAAATAATTTAAAACCAGTAAAATTTAAAATAGGTTTCAGATTGGAAAGTACGTGAACATAAACAATATGGGCATAATAAAATATAAATTATTATTATTATAATGTTAAGCTAAATTATAGAGAAATAAGTCGTGAGCCACCTCGCGCTCCCATAACCTGAAATTAACATGTCTAGACAACTGGAAAAAATCAAGCAGTAATAATAGCATAAAAATAAGTCCAATAAGTAGATTAATATTTTTTTGTTTCAAATAATATATTTTATTTTATTTGAAATACTTTAAATTTTAAAGTATTTTAAAGTTTAAAATATATTTATATGCATTAAATTAACTATAAAATTATTATATCTGTGTTTACAACAACTGAATGTCAATCATATCTCCGTTTGCGCACAATTTATTTGCCGTCGCGTGGATTACAGCCCAACGACAGGTCATTCACGACAACACTTGTGGTCGCACTCAATGGGAGTCGAGCTATGATTTCATAGTCGTGGGCGGAGGGGCTGCCGGCGCTGTAGTGGCCAATAAGCTCAGCGCTAATGCGTCGGTGCGGGTGTTACTGCTGGAGGCGGGCGGTGCGCAAAGTGCCATATATAACGATGTACCTGGTTTGAATAATATTCAAAATCCAGCAATTAATTGGATTTATTTTGACCAATCCGTCCATGGCTTTGGTCAACAGTTCGCCGGGGGACGAGTGTTCGAACCGACCGGTAAAACATTGGGCGGCAGTACTGGGCATAACTCCATGTTTTTCGTTCGGGGTAATCGTCGCGGTTATGACGAGTGGGCCCACACTTACGGCGCCCGCGGCTGGAGTTACAGTGATTTGTTGCCGGTGTTCACGGAGTGGGAGAACAATACGGATCCACGCGTTGTACGCGAGGCACCCGACTATCACGGAACACACGGTCCCATTCAGATATCATCCACACGGAATTTTAATAAATTCACCTCGGTCATTACTAAAACATTAAATCAATTGGGATATAATAAGACTGATATCAATGGCCCGATTCAGACCGGATATAATTTACAGCAATATTACACAAACTCGTTGGGACTGAGGACGGGAACGGGTAATCCATTTGTTGACCCGAACCCACATCCGGATAATCTGCATATTGTATGCAACGCTTTGGTTACAAAAGTGTTGTTCAATGGATTGACAGCAATTGGCGTCGAGTTTACATTTGATTACATCTCATATACCGTTTACGCCGACAGAGAAGTCATTATTTCTGGCGGTATATAATTATAAAAACAATAATACATTATTTTACTATATTTTAATTGCTTTTAACATAATTTTAGGTGCTATTAATAGTCCTCAGTTGTTAATGCTGTCAGGTGTGGGTCCGGCTAAACATTTGAAAAGTCTTAACATAGGATTAGTGTTGGACTTACCGGTTGGCGATAATTATCAAATCCATCCCGACCTACAGATGTCGGCACAATTATATCCAAGTTATTATTTTATGGCTTCAGAAATAGCCCAATTGGATGTCCACCAATTGAGCCAGCTTTATTATAATCACACGGGACCACTTTGGCCTCCTACAAGAGTACTATTATATTTTAGTACCCGATTGAACATGAACAAACAATGGCCAAACGTTCTTTGTGTCATTAGTTTAAGTAACATCACAATTAACATAAGCATTGGATTAATGAAAATCAATAGCCGGGGTTCAATACAGTTGAGAGAGGCAGACCCACTGTTGCCACCTATAATTAATCCAGCATGGTTGACAGACCCCTTAGACATGGAGAATATGGTTGATTCAGCCAGGACCGCATTTTATTTATTCGAGCGCTCACAACTGCGTAACTACATTCAACCGTTGCCCCCATTCTCTGCCATCGGGTGTCCCGACTGTCCGGACAAACAGTATTTGTATGAATGCGCTGAGGGTTTAAAGTGTTATATCAAATACAATAGCCAATCATCGTTTCATCCGTCGGGCAGTTGTCGTATGGGTGCAGTTGAGAGGCCGGACGTTGTGGTCGACCCCCAGTTGAGGGTTAAGGGGGCAAAGAATTTGAGGGTTTGCGACGCCTCTGTTTTCCCGGTAACACCCAATGGCAATACCGCCGCCGC